CGTCTCATTTTTTCCCCTCCCTCTGCCACCCTCCCTTTCTCATGAACCCTTGATAATTTATAAATGATTATTATTTTTTCGTGTCTGACACTGACCGATGGAAAGGTCTTTAGACATATTAGGCCCCCTCCCCCATTCCAGACTTTGGGAAACCAAGGCTCAGGAACAAAAAAAGAGTTTGCCCTTGTACACCTAAGAAGTGGATGAACTGGGAATCGAACCAAGGTTCTCTGACTTCCAGGCTCAGGGTCTTTCTGCTGTGTCAGGAAATCGGGAGCTTTTTACAGACCAACCAGAAGGAACCACACGCATCACGGATGAGTTCATCCCAACTCACGGTGACCGACCGTATGGGACTGAGCAGAAGGGCCCCAAAGGGTTTCCAGAGAAGTAGACTGTCACATCGCTCTCCCACGGAGTGGGCTCGAACTGCCAACCTTTCCACCAGCACCTGCGTGCTTAACCACTTGTGTCACCACCACCACCCACCCCCTCCCCCAAAAGAAAACAAACAACACACTGTCATCGAGTTGATGCCAACTCACAGCAACCCTGCAGGACAGAGGAGAACTATCCCCGTAGGCTTCCGAGACGGTAACTCTTTACAGGGTAGGAAACCCTGGGTGTCACTCAGCACTCAGGCCCCCCCTTTTTTTGCAGTCTAACCTCCCCCTCTTTACTATTTACTCCTCTTCCCTTGGGACCTCATCTTGGGAAGAATTGTATCTGTCAACATCTCACACGAATGAATGCATACTCTTTCGCCCATTTTTATTAGTCAGACATGTCTGTGCGACTCAGACTTCCTGATGGACCGAAGATAGCATCCAAGTGTGGTCTCAACTCGGGTCTTGAACTGTCAACGTGATGCTGAGGTGGCCTCTCCCCAGCCCTTGAGACCGTTGGAGACCCAGATGGAGAGTTACCAGGCAGCCTCCTGCGGTTGGCTCAGAAACCCCCAGGGGATGTATTTTTTGTCTTAAGTGTGCATGACAACCCGAATTGAGACCCATTCATTTCAGCAGCTTTCATAGCCACATCTGCAGCATGAATATGTTGCTCTCTTTGGGGGCTGGTGACAGAGCAGGTGTTTCTTCTTCGGGAACTGTTTCTACGGCCCCGGGTGCCACACGCAGATAAAAGCCTTTTGAGATGTTCTTTCAAACTGGCGGAGACCGTGGGAGAGACGTTGGCGCTCTGTGCCAACGTCACCAAGCAACTAGGTGGGCAAGGAGCTGGGAGGGGCTGAGAATCGCCATGTGTGTCTGCTCTGTTGTCCAAGCAAATCACCACCAAGACACAGTCAGAAAGGCACCCCGCTGGAGAAAACCCCGCTCCACACATACCCCAAGCTCTCTTGTTGATAAATCCAAGGGACCAGCCACTCGGCTGTGCTTGAAAGCACAGGTGGGGTGGTATCTTTTCGTGACCTGCTCACCCTACTCAGAGCAAAGACCTTGCCTTTAACAACCCTCCGCCTCCTCCCTCCCTCCTTGGGGAACTGTTCAGCCTGCATTGGCCAAATCTGGTCTCCTAGGTCTCCCGGGGGTGGCCAGCTTCATCTGCACCCCAGGAGGCAAGGGGGTTCCTTGAGAGCTGCCTGAGCCACATCACTGCTCCACTCAGGAAAGTCCTGACCCCGGAGCATCGCTGAGGGGAAGGTACCGAGGTGGAGGTCTGAAAGAGGCCTTTGGGTTTCCCCAATTCAGGACTGAATCATAAAAGACAATTGCCGCTAAGACCCAGAATAAGACCATACCCAAAGTGAATGGGGGGTGGGGGGTGGAATGGAGTGGAGACCCAATTCCCCTCTGTAGACAATTGGAAATCCCCTCACAAAGGGGTCACAAGGAAGAGATGAGCCAGTCAGGGTGCAGTATAGCACCGATGAAGCAGACAACTTTCCTCTAGTTCTTTGGTGCTTCCTTCCCCCCTCTATCATGACATCAATTCTACCTTACAAATCGGATTAGACCAGAACATGCACACTGCTACAGATAAGAGCCCGCAACACAGGAAATCCGGGATAGATAAACCCCTCAGGGCCAACAAAGAGAGTAGAGATACCAGGAGGATTAGGGGAGGGTGGGGGGAAGAAAGGGGGAACTGATCATAAGGATCAACCTAGAACCCCCACCCAGGGAGATGAATAATGGAAAAGTGGGTGAGGGGCGATGGATGATGATGTACAATATGAAAAAATAATCTATAACTAATCAAGGTGGGTGGGGAGGGAGGGGGAAGAAATGGGGAGTGGATATCAGGGGCTCAAGTGGGAAGAGAATGCTTTGAAAATGATGATGGCAGCATAGGAGCAAATGTGCTTGACACACTGGAGGAATGTATGGATTGTGATAAGAGATGTAAGAGCCCCCAATAAGAGTATTTAAAAAAAGAGAGAGAGAGAGAGAGGGAATTGCCGCTAACTGTGCTCAGTCCAGATGAGATAAATGAGAGGTTTTCATGGTGGACTTAACCCAACCTGAGACCCTGTACTCAGCTGTTGGAAGTTCACTTTGTTCTAGGAAATGGTAATTATGCAAACAGACTCCAGGTTTCAGGTTTGGGGAACTACCCTCGGATTCCACGGTAATGACTAAAGCGTGAACATCCCCAAGATGCCAGGCTCTGATTAAAGTGTCTAGGGACCAAACGGACTGCCTCCCTCCCAGAGCTCTGATTGAACGGCCCAGGTCTTGGGTTCCAAACTGTGCCCGGAGGTGCCTTTCCAGCTCCTGGGTGGAGGGCGTGGGGGTGGTGGGCATCTAGGTTTGATCAGAAAATTGCTCTTTGTGGAATATTCTCCTTTGTCACTGGGCAATCGAGTGACATTTTATTGGAAGAGAAGATTCCAAGGCTACCAATGTTTGGAAAATCACTGCCCCCAACACCCGGTGGCTGTGTATGAATGTCTGCCTGTTTATATGGGTCCACATCCCGTGTGACAGGCCAGGTGGAGCGGCCCCCAGCGGGTGGTCACCTTCATGAGAGATCACCAAATCTTTCTCCCTCAGGGCCCCTGGGGGTGGGTTCCAACACCCACCTTTCAGCTGAGCCCTTCACTGTGTCTAACCAACTTGTGGCCATCTAGTCAATGCCAACTTGAAGTGACCCCGTGGGGCAGAGACGCACTGCCCCCTAGGTTCCCAGAGCTGCCCGGAAGCAGAATGGATAACGCAGCTCCCTGCAGCAGACAGGCTGGGAGGTGCCAAGTGCCCGCCGTTCTGTTGGCAGCAGAATGCGCTAACCAGTGCACCACCCTGGGCTCCTGGTGTAGGTTTCCTCGGGTGGGTTTCCACAAATCCTTCCTGTGTTCTTTCTTCAAGTCTGGAATTAACAAAAAAAAAAATTAAGTCAAGCAGTACAGAACTCTATAAAGAAAGGAGCGAGCCCCTCTCCCTGCCTGCCCTCTTCTGCCTCCTCGAGATAACAGTGTTGAGCCACCTGGTGCATGTCTACCTGCTGCCTCCCCC